GAGCATCAGCGTCGATGCGAACGGTCGGGGAGCTCCGGTGAATCGGCGATGAAGATGCACAGCAAGAAGAAAAATGAGAAAGTGTGCTATCGGTGCGGTAAATCGGGACATTTTCAGCGAAATTGTCCACAGCAGCCAAAAGGTGGCCCGGGCGGTAGTGATGTGAAGCGTGATTCGAAAGCTAAGTCCGGTGGTGCGAGGGCCAAACAGGCTGAAGAAAGTGAGTCGGCGATATGTTTTGTGGCTGGAACCAAGTGCAGTGGACCTTGGATCGTTGATAGTGGGTGTTCCAGCCACATGACGAACGATCGGTCATTCTTCAATGAACTGGACACGAGTGTGCGAGTGAAAGTGTTCTTGGCCGACGGGTCAGAGACGATGTCCGGTGGACTCGGAAATGGCACAGTAAAGTGTGTGAATGGAGACAACCGTTTGGTGGATATTCCGTTCAAAGACGTCCTATACGTGCCCTCATTGGACAGTGGACTCATATCGGTGAGAAAACTCGTGAAAAATGGACTGAAAGTGGAATTCTGTGGTTCGCGGTGTGAAATTTTGTCCGCGGGAGGCAAAGTGGTGGCTGTGGCGGAGCCCCGCGGCAGTCTGTTCGCGTTGAAGATTGCAGAGGAAGCTCGGCTGGGCAAGGAGGCTCGGCACCTGCAGAATTGCCAGCATACCTGGCACCGTCGGCTAGGTCATCGGGATCCAGCGGCGTTGGATGAGATCCGGAGGAAGGAGCTATCTGAAAACTTCAAGGTTCAGGATTGCGGGATCCGGCAGGTTTGTCAACCTTGCCTAGAAGGTAAATCATGTAGAATTCCATTTCCCAAAATCGCGGTTAATCGTACCCAACGTGTTCTCGACGTCATTCACACTGATGTGTGTGGACCGATGGTAAACGTCACGCCCGGGGGTGCCCGCTATTTAATGACAATCATTGATGATTTTAGTAGATACACTGTCGTGTGTCTGCTGAAGCGGAAGAGCGATGTAACTGATTGCATTAAGAGATTTGTCGCGCACGTCAAGAACATGTTTGGTCGGGCTCCATGTGTTATTAGATCAGATGGCGGGGGTGAGTATACCGGACACGAGCTGAAACGGTATTATGAGCTAGAGGGCATTCAAGCGCAGTACACCGCGGCCTACTCTCCCCAGCAGAATGGAGTGGCGGAGCGTAAGAATCGCTCCCTACAAGAAATGGCCACCTGTATGCTTCTTGATGCAGATCTTGACAAAAAGTACTGGGGGGAGGCGGTGGCCACTGCTGCCTACTTGCAGAATAGGTTGCCATCCCGCGCTGTCGATACGACGCCTTATGAAAGGTGGTTCGGCAGGAAACCATCACTGTCGCACCTGAAAGTGTTCGGTTGCCCTGCATTTGTTCACATCCCAGAGGTTAAACGGTCGAAGTTAGATAGCAAGGCTAAGAAGTTACTGTTCGTGGGTTACTGCAGTGACAGGAAGGCCTATAGATTCCTCGATACGGATACAAACGGAATCACCATTAGTCGCGATGCTCGTTTTGTGGAGCTTCAGGAGGAGAAACCAGTGTCGGATGGTTTGCCTCCAACCGAAGAGGATCTTGTAGAGGTGGAGGCCTCGAGCAGCCAATCGCAGAAGCAAGTTGAAGCACTAAATCCAGAATCGCCAAGGGATCCGGAAGATGATGATGAGGAATACTTCTCCGGGGATGATGAACAGGCACAGCCCGACCAAACGGAAGCGACCCAACAAAGGCAGAAGCGGAGCACCCGGGGTGTCTTGCCAAAGCGTTTGGAAGACTACGTCGTCTGCGTTGCGATGCAGGCGCAGGAGGAGCCAGCGACCTACGAAGAAGCAGTGTCGGGCGCCGAGCAAGGATTATGGAAGGAAGCTATGGCGGAAGAATACCGGTCGCTGATGGAAAACCAAACATGGAAGCTTGTCGAACTGCCAGCCGGTCGTACTCCAATCAGCTGCAAGTGGGTGTATCGGAAGAAGCATGACAACATCGGCAACATCTCTCGATTCAAGGCTCGACTAGTAGCGAGAGGATTCTCGCAAAAATTCGGAGTGGATTATGATGCCGTTTTCGCTCCGGTGGCAACTCAGACAACTTTGAGGACTCTCCTGGCGGTCGCCGGGCATCGGAAGATGTCCGTTCATCACCTCGACGTAAAGAGCGCTTATCTTCACGGAACGCTCAAGGAAGAGGTGTATATGATGCAGCCGAAGGGATTCGTCGTTCCTGGGAAGGAGAAATTCGTGTGTCGACTGCAGCGAAGCCTTTACGGCCTGAAACAGGCCGCACGTGTGTGGAATGAGACAATCAGTGCGATGTTGAGAGAGCTCGGTTTCACACAGTCGGTGTCAGATCCATGCCTTTACGTCAAGGAGTTGTCCAATGGCAACGTCATCTACCTATTGATATATGTTGACGACATGATCGTGGCGAGTACGGTTCAGGAGGAGATTAGGATTATCGAGGACCAGTTGAAGAGGAAGATCTCATTGACGTTGTTAGGTGAAGTTAATCAGTTTCTGGGCGTTCGAGTGACCCGGGACCAAGATGGATATTTCAGCCTGGACCAGAACGTATTCATCCGTGCACTCGCTCAACGATTCGGCCTACAAGACGCGAGAGGTTCGAGCATCCCGCTTGACCCAGGATACTACCGTAGCCGGGTAAACAGCCGGCCTCTAGATACGAACGAGCGCTACCACAGTCTGGTAGGCGCACTACTCTATATCGCAGTGAACAGCAGACCGGATATAGCCGCAAGCGTATCCATCTTGAGCAGGCAGATCAGCAGCCCAACGGAGACCGACTGGGTCGAACTGAAGCGCGTCGTCCGATACTTGCTGAAAACGGCTGACTGCAAGTTGAAGCTGTCTGCTACGAATGGTGAGCAGCTAGTTCTCGTCGGATACTGCGACGCGGATTGGAGCGGGGACCCTTCTGACCGGAAGTCAAATTCCGGCTACCTGTTCCAGCTGGGAAAAGCTACGATCTGCTGGGCGAGTCGGAAACAGACGAGCGTCTCTTTGTCCAGCATGGAAGCCGAATATATGGCCCTGTCTGAAGCGTGCCGTGAGTTAGTTTGGCTGAGGCAACTGTTGGAGGAGATGGGAGAACACCAAGCAGAGCCGACTACAGTTATGGAGGATAATCGTAGCTGCATCGTTTTCGTGGAGACCGACCGCAAGTCTAGAAGATCCAAGCACATCGATACCCGTGTACACTACACCAAGGACTTGGTCGATAAAGGTGTGGTCACTCTCCGATATTGTCCGACGGAGGAGATGGTCGCGGACATTCTAACCAAACCGCTAGGTGCAATGAAGCAGCAACGATTCGTCGAAGCAATGGGGTTGGTCAGTGCCCATGACCGGGTGGCATCGGCTCCGTGACGTCGAGGAGGAGTGTCAGCTATACAGTGGGGGCGACGTTTATCCCAACGCCGTCACTGCACCGCATCTCTGGTAACTGGAGAGGAACAGAGCGAAAGCAGAACATCATTCTCATACCAATCAGTCTGTAACCGAAACGAATGAATAAAGACGTGTCTAATCGTATACGGTCCCGCGTGTGAAAGTTTTTCTTGTTATATCACGAAACGCATTGTCCGGATTCCGCCCGGTATTCCGTTGCCTGTTGGGTGCCTGAAGTGTCCGCCTGTCCACTCTGTTGTCCATCACGCTCAACAATTGGCACCTTTTTTCCAGAGCGATTGGAACTGATCGTAGGATTTACCAGTTGGCGTTTTTTGACAACCATTCCGAGTGATTCCGCACCACGTAGCATCTAATGATTTCATAATTCCAAAAAACATTTTTTTTGTCTGAAATAAGTATTTGCCACCATGCTGCAAAGTGCATCTACTGCAGAAGATATGAATCATGTTGTCACTTAAGGGTCAGATCAGATTATCATCTTTCTTGAGACCCGTGTGATTTATGATAATTTCACGCACCTCCAAACAAAAGATCTCCTGGGTAAAAACCATTGCAAGAGTCACACATTTGCTGTTTCTTATTACGGTAATTAGCAAGAATAAGCTATATTCACCTGGAGACCTCCAACAAACCTCCCGAGATCTTATTGCTTCGGAAATCGCCAACTTTCCACATTATAGCGGTTTATAACTGCCGCTAATCATGGCACCTTCTGCACAATCGCATATAAGGAAGTGAGCTGCAGCATCATCCCTAGCCAAGATACAAGAGAGAAAGAACTAAATGACACTTTGTCCTACTTGCAGAACTTGCATTACTAGGTGCACGCCTAGATGGTTCCAACAGCCAGCTGAAGACAACCTGATTGCATTCCTTTGAAAACTGGTTTGCATCTCTTCTACCATCCGTGGTCATTTCACTTACCCCGATCTTTCGCATCCCGTATTCGCACACTCTTTCTCAACAACAACACAACATAGGCAACGAGGAGGAAATTAAGCCCTCTAGTAAAAGTATGGACGACTGTCACCACAAAACTGAACAAAGCTGTTCCAATCGAGTAAAGTGGTGCATTGTGACGGTTCGATTGGAACAACTTTTGACAGACGTCCATACTTTTACTGTAGGGCTTTAGGCGGAAAGGGGCATCTAACGTTGATTAAAAATATGCTGCGTCATTGATCTCCATAATAAAACTTAAAAAAAAAATCTTTTTTTGCGATATGACAGTAATAAAATCGTGGATTTTCCTATGTTTCGAGGGGTGCATCGATTAGCTTGGGACCGAAGAGAATACCAGAGCTGAGCCAAAAAGTTGAGCTCGTTTCTTCGGGACCTCCTAGTCTTAAAGTTACCTCTATGGTAATAATCTTCAGCTGACTTGACCACTGCATGCTATTCGTGTTGGAGAAGCGCAGTGCAAGTCCATTAAGCGAAGAGATGATTGATGCTTCAGGTGTTGACTGTTGTCGATCGTAAATTTTTGTAGTGGTTTTCAAGTCATTTATAGTTTGATGTGGTTAATTTGAATGTTCTTTTGTTGCATTTCCATTTCGTTCTAGTGGATCAGTACTACCGAATGCCTCGGATATACGCGTACGATGACTACGATGAATGCTTCGATTCGTTCGAAACCCCAGACCCCGTATACTGCGTCGCTCGATCGGTCATCAAACCGGATAACCACTCCGAGCTGTGGAGATTTATTCAGGTAATTAGACACGGGCATGCGGCAACTTGTTGGTGGATAGATACACTGGAAGACGGTAGGAATGGTTGATATCGTTGCAATAATGGGTGGAATTTCCCAAAACCAGAAACTGCGGAGAAATCGGAATTTATCAATCTAATTGTGTCAATCGTGGTAGAGAAATCTCCCGAAGAGCACTCCTACCGGTGGTTCAATTATTGGCAATAATGTATTGGCTATCCTCGAATCAGAAGAGCTGGTTTTTTGTACGTCGGGCAAGTAATGACTATAAAGAAAGAGAGAGGGATTAGTAATTTCCACTTAATTCCTCTACCTTATTTGCATATTTTGTCTACAATGTGCAGACATCGTCAGTGGCTTGTACTCATACTCGAGTACTAGTACAATACACTGAATAAGTCTGCACATTGTAGAAGAAAAACGCATATCTGTCAAGGATAAACAAATAATGTAGAGGAATGCCAGGAATGCTGCACAGAACACCTGAGTTTTACAATGAAGTTTCAAATCTGTTCAGTGTTTTTTACAAACATTTGGTACGTTACTGTTTTTTTTTTTTGTTTTTGTAAAAGATTATGTTTACAATACATTCGTCACAATGTTTCCAGTACTCCGGAATTGCAGGTAAATGTCTATAAATTACGGAAATACATCAGTTTTGTTTGCGAAAAATTGGCAAAACAATATTTTTTTTACAAAGCCTTTAGTAAAAATAATATTTTTCAGACCAAATCCAGCACAAAAAGTATCGAACAATATTTAGGAAATTTAGTATGTGCACCTTTTTCGACAGTTTATACTTTGCAAAATAGAAATAAAGTCATTGTGCACCTGTACAGCTTCACCGTTCGCTATATTGAACTTTTGAAAAATTTCCATAACAATTGTTTACTCAGAATCTGGGTAGATTCTACTCATCACTACAGATCTAGTTTACTTATTTATTAAAACTCCATACTACACACATGTGTGATCTATCCAGTCACTGGGCAAACTCAGAATTGCGTGAAGGCACCCAATAGAAGGAGATAGTGAAAATTTCTTACACTTAGACCAGTGTAGTAACGTGACTGAGTGATACCTGGGGCTAGGCGGGAAATATCAGGAGCTCACGGTCTTCCAGTGTTGATGAATTCTTTACCGTTAATGTTCACGAAAAGCTCACTATTTTGCCATACAGAAATTCAAAACAAACAAAAATGATGGGTGGATTTGGACAGTTTTTGAGCTGCTTCATACGACCGGAAGGTGTATGCTGATCACAAATGCCGTGTCAAACTGATTTCCTACGCAATTCATCAACCTTTGATGTGAATTTCGCTAAAAAACACGAGGAGCATTTCTTATAGAGATTAGTGACGTTTAACGCACGCACACTAGCGGAAGCAACGCCGTGTACAGTTGTTTATTATTTTCCTCTGGCTAACCTAAAAAACGTATGAAAGTAGACCTGTCAAAATTAGTTTGACATCGATTTGTTATGTATTTTCCTCGGATATTCACTAACACGCTCTCACATATCGCACCAATACAACCGGACGTGAAAATCTCAATTAATTATATGATTTGAGTAGTAGCTATACTGAAGATCCGAGAGATGTCGCCCCTTCAGTGGTAGGAAAATCATTTTTGCAGTATGGAGAATATCAGAAAATCCACGATTTGTGACTAAACATGCTTTCACAGAAGGAAACAAATAAACAAGTGTTTACCTTATCACCATAGTAACAACCACAAACGAAGTGACAGACGACTTACTGGCGAAGAAATCCATTAAAATAATGTGGTTCACTGTAATAGAATTTTCTTGGTAGCTTGTGCCATTATCCACCAGATGGGTTAGTTTTTTTGTTTTGATTTGAACAAAGTTGATTTTGTGTACAACACAGCAAAAAAAAATGTAATATCGATCAACGTAATTCAAGCTGATGTATGAAATAACGATGTAATTGGTAAATCAAAGTTGGCACTCGTGGAGAATAGAAGAACTATGAGAGTGATGATGGTTTCAAAATTTTCCACGTGGAGGTATACGAGTGCAATCTTAAAATGCTTTTATTTTGCAAATGGAGCATTTTATTTAAATCTGGTTGCTGCTACAGTTGTAGAAAAGTTGAAATCTATGTGTACACATAAAAATCTGAAAAGATATTATTATTTCTATATTATATGTCTATTAAGTAGTCCTTAAGTTTTCTACTAGCGTAGCATTAACCAGATTTAAATAAAATGCTCCATTTTCAAAATAAAAGCATTTTAAGATTGCACTCGTATACCTCACCATGTAAAATTTTGAAACCATCATCACTCTCATAGTTCTTCTATTCTCCACGAGTGCCAACTTTGATTTGCCAATAGCAAAAAGCAGATACAATATTACATCAATGGATGTAATTTTGTTCGCAAAATCGATGTACATCGTACAATGTGATATTACACAACTGATGGATTGACCTGGTTGCAGCAGTTTCGATGTAATATTCAACAACTTTTTTTGCTGTGAATGATTCTTTGACAGTGTGCAAAGAGTGCGTATCATTTTGTCATTTTTTTATGCATTTCAGTTTTGAGTAGAGTGAAAGAGATAGAACCAAAATATTCTAGTACATTTGGTGAAAATGCTAGTTCAATCCAATAGTAGTGTTGCCATGTGGTACAATCCAGTAGTAGTGGTGTTGCCATGTGGTACACTGAAAAATTGCAATAGCAGGTTAGTCACCAAAGTTTTCGAGCCGCTCCGTCTGTCACTTCGTTTGTGGTAACAACAATCAATACGAAACTAACGATTTTAAATTGGCTCACCACTTTAGTAGCCTATTGGTCCCAAGCAAACGATTAACGTACCCTATTCTAGTCGAAATTCTAGTACTACGCAATGTTTGTTTTGATTCGCTATGAAAGTTTGACAGATAAAATGAGGGGTTATTGGTTTTTCCTATGTTTCGAGGGGTGAATCATTTAGCTTGGGACCGAAGAGAGTACCAGAGCTGTGCCAAAAAGTTGAGCACGTTTCTGCGGGACCTTCTAGTCTTAAGGCCGGCACACAATAGATACGTTTTCGGATTTTTTGACAGATAATGCATGGGCTAACTGTCAAAAAACCCGAAAACGTATCTATTGTGCGCCGGCCTTTAGAGTTACCTCTATGATAGTAATGTACTCGTGCAATTTTTGTGCATCTTAAACTGCCCATAAAGACGATAATGAATAAAATCTAAAAATTCTCATGCATTTCCAAATGGTTTCCTACCATTCCCATACATTCGAAGTGACTGGCCCTCTGGATGTGGATGATGTCAAAAACAACAAAACATGATTAATTAATTATATGATTTGAGTAGTAGCTATACTGAAGATCCGAGAGATGTCGCCCCTTCAGTGGTAGGAAAATCATTTTTGCAGTATGGAGAATATCAGAAAATCCACGATTTGTGACTAAAAATGCTTTCACAGAAGGAAACAAATAAACGAGTGTTTACCTTATCACCATAGTAATGTACTCGTGCAATTTTTGTGTATCTAAAACTGCCCATTAAGATGATAATGAATAAAAACTGAAAATTCTTATGCATTTCCAAATGGTTTCCTACCATTCCCATACATTCGAAGTGACTGGCCCTCTGGATGTGGATGATGTCAAAAACAACAAAACATGATTAATTGGCGTCTTGCAGTGAAACTTTTCCAAGCTTTCGCCACCTACATTTCGAAGTGAGAACTACTAGAAGGAGGATAGTTTCCAAATTTTCCAAGTAAAACAGACGCTTTGTGGGGCAAATCGGTCCATAAAGAAAAACTAATAATTTTCCGTGGAAACTTTTGCTTGAATCGGGTAAGAAAACGTGTTTGAAAACTATTTGTTATTATTTCGATATGGATCGGAGATGTTTTCATGGCAAATTATGCATAACAAGTTTGCACTCACAGGGAGAGGTTACCTCCTGCGCAGCTGCATTTTTCAGAAAATGGTAAATATGTGCGATTTTCACTAAGATGAAAGTGGAAATTGACTGAATTTACTTAGGAAAGGTTGTATCATGAATTCAAGAGCAAATTTTCATTATGTCGTAAGTAACATTCGCACCAATCCGAGAAAAATAAAGTTTTGTTTTGATGACCGAAAAGTTATTCCTATTTCCAAGTAAACACATATAATCTCAGAGTGATAGCAATGTTTAACATATTTAGCAGGGTTTTAATCATACAAATGCAAATCGCTAGCTTTCATGCTAAAAATACTGGTTTTTGAGTCAAAAGTTATTATACGTCGTTTGGGGGCCCCTATTGTTACTTAAGTCAAAGTGTATTTACCAGGATATTCGGGAGAATTATCAATTACGTCTCCTTACGTGCAGCCCATTCATCATTTTAGGACCACCGAAATCATCTTAGCAACAAACAGTTCGATTTATTCACTTTAATAATGAGAAAGCGAAACGACGAACGTACACTTTTTACGGGTTTCTCAGCGCTGTTACATAAATCAAACGGCATCTCCATAGAAATTGGGTGACTTAAGTAACATCGAAAACTATTTTGATCGGAAGGTGATTACGTCAAAAAGCAATTTGGCTGGCAAATAAATTTAAAAATGGGATTTGATCCTATATTCGGACAGTATATAGTGTAATAGCAGGAGAATCGATTGACACTGATAGCTCGACTTTGTTTACCTTTGTTACATTCGACGTAATGAAAATTTGCTCTTGAATTGGTTGTATAGGACGCCTATATTCAATAAATGTTCATTTTGGCCTTTTTTAAGCAAACATATTGATACCATTGATACTCACAATTTTCGACGGAAAACGCACCGGAACTTGATTTACTCAACACGCACCATGCTATAAAATGGTGCTAGATGGTCTTCAGAGTGATAACAAGATGAAAAATCATCTTTATTTTGAGAAATTGAGCAATTTACTTCTGTTTACCATCATATTTACGATGCAGCATTGATTGAGCCGTGAAATGAAATGAATATATCTTATGAAACTTCACCTGGAAAAGTCAAAGATGCCCATCAATCTGATCGTAAAAACGTTTTCTTCTTCTATTCGAATGTTATATTGGAAGGATTTCATGCAGGCTTGATGAAAATTATGATTTAATGCTAATTTTCACGAACTTTATATACAGTCTGTCAACATTATCATCATCATGCAGTGATGACATTTGCGTTGAGCTTTTGCGGCAATCTTCCAATAGCAAAACTTGCCATAACAAAATGGGCATAGTTCAGTCACAGGCAAACAGACATAACACTCACAAGTTATTCATAGAACAAGCATTTAACGGTCAATTTAAAAGTATTTCAGTTGGTAGTACTGCCACCTGTGGCGCGCATAGTCAATTCCTTTGCGTTTGACGTTTACACACTACCGCCATCTGTTCAGCGTACTACCCACCACAGTGTACTCAACAGATGGCGGTAATGTTTTAGCGACGATGTTTTACTATAAGAAATATTCAATGAGTTATGTCTGTTTGTCTGTGGTTCAGTTTAGCAAACAAACTAACACTTCTTCCTACTGTGTTACCTTTCTATTTCCCGCCTATAGTACCTGTGGCGGGTTATATGAGTGTTATCCCCTAACTATCAATAATTCGACCACAGACAAACAGACATAACTCATAGTATATTTCTCACTGTAAAACATCATCGCTAAAACATTACCGCCATCTGTTGAGTACACTGTGGTGGGTAGTACGCTGAACAGATGGCGGTAGTGTGTAAACGTCAAACGCAAGGGAATTGACTACGCGCGCCACAGGTGGTGGTACTACCAACTACGATATTTTTAAATTGACCGTTAAATCACAGACAAACAGACGTAACTCTTTGAAAAACTTGTTCTTGAAAACATAGTATCTCAAAACATATAACCTCAGTAACGACATCTATCTGGCTTCTCGCGGAAAACAAGCTTGCTCGCTAACTCGTAAACAATATTGCATGAAATTTCTATAGAATATATAGAAACGTCAAAGTGATCCGATGCCAGCGCTGCGGCGAGTAGTTCGCGGAACTGATAATATTCAAATCAACCGTTAAATGCATGAACGAAGATACACAATGAAGAGTTACGTCTGTTTGTCTGTGGTTAAATGCTTGTACGATGATCAACTTGCGAGTGTTATGTCTGTTTGTCTGTGATTCGACAGTGAGCATGCATAATGGTCTACCTGGATGATCTCTTCGTCGATTTTCTCTTTAAATGGCTATAAATTGTAAGGGAAGCAGTTTTCTGGAATTTGTCCAATATACAGCTGTAACAGGTTGTATTGGCCATCAAAAGGAATAACAAACGCACCGAGAAATGTTATTCTAAACTAGTTATTAACAAAACAAGCTGAACATTGCATTAGGTCCTATGTAACATTGATCGATTCTCTTCGTCGACTTTTTCTTTCGTTAGTAGCTCGAGCCCATAACCGTTCCTTGTTGTGTTTGCCGTATTAGATGCTAGATAAAAACTTCTTTTATCGATTTGTGTGCTGAAAATATCTGGGAATGCATTTACATGACCGTGGGGTTACAAAGAGAAAGTCGACGAAGATAATCTGTCAATGTTACTTAAGACCTAATGCAATGTTCAGCTTGAAAAGAAATCTACGAAGAGAATCGATCATCGTGGTTACGCCATTATGCATGCAAGCCCAAGGATTATTGCATGCAGATTTCGTCCATAATACCAATGCTGGCCATAGAGTTCTCTACCACCGTTAGTATTAGCAACAATCAATACGAAACTAACGATTTTAAATTGGCTCACCACTTTAGTAGCCTATTGGTCCCAAGCAAACGATTAACGTACCCTATTCTAGTTGAAATTCTATTACTACACTATGTTTGTTTTGATTCGCTATGAAAGTTTGACTGGTCAAAGTAGTTTTTATTTACTTGTGTGAAATTCGGAAAGAATTTTCCATTAGCTTTCTACCCAAAAGTAAGTTAGTTGTACTCAAAAGTAGGTAAATATAATTATACTCAACGTTGGGTTCCCACACTTTACTACCCCTGTTGGGTGGTTTTGCTCCTCCGTTTTTGACAACATTAGAAGGAGGAAAGGAGACAAACTAGTCAAAAGTAGGTAAAAGTGAACTGGTGGTAGGGTAGTTTTTTCTTACCGTGTACAAAAGATCGAATGAAATGTTTAGGGAGAAATGGTCGGATAGCCAAAAGGTCGAAATGAACAAAAAGTGGAATCTAATGTGTAGGGACAAATGGTCAAATGGAAAAAAAAGATCGACTGTGTAAAAGCACAGAGAACAGACATCCAAGCTTAAACAAATTTTTCGGAAATTTATGTGTAAGAATTCAAATTAAAATACGTTAGAAACACTAGCGCCGGCATACGGAATGTTGCGGCTCGAACTGAACTAAAATTTGAGTTGATCTTATAGAGCTTTTTGACGTTAATTCGGCGCACACTACTGCACCATTTAAATCGAACGAGTGCGAGCAAGAGGGAAACAGATTAGTGGGAAAACAAACCGTCAATTCATTCATGTGCGCTAGATAGAGAAAGACGATTAAACGTCAAAAAGGTTTATTGACCGTGTATCCAAATGAACTGTCAAATTTGTTCAAAACAAACAAGACAAAACAACGGAAATCAATCCTGTTTCTGCGGAACCAATATTTCAGAATAAAAAACTAGGCTCTTTTACAGTTTGCTCTAGATCTTCAACCGTTTTTCTTTTCAATTTTAACTGGGCACAGTAGTCAGGAGCAACATTGACTTTTCTTGATTCACTGGCGGTGTATCTTCAAATGATTCAGTGAAGGTGTGAACTCCAATTAGCCCTCATTTAAATTCATAAAAATGTGATAAGATTTGAACTCTGCATCCGTTCCAACCGGTGAGCACTCGTGTTTATTTCAGTTACCGTGTGGACGTAATTTGTGATGAGCCCCGGTCCCTTTCAAATTGTATTATTATTTATATACGATCCATATATTTGAAATGACGTTTCACATTCATCTAGTGATGGCCGATTTTCATTCGAATAATCGATTAACGAACCGAACAGTAAAATACTTGTAATCGGTTATATCATGCCGATATAAGCATTAACTTCTGCAGAGGATCATCACCGATCGTTTCAAACAAGTTTTGCACTCTCATTGGTGGAAATATGACAGCACAGCGAACAAAAAATATTCGATTAATTGTTAATCGAGTCATTAAAAAATGCGACATCTCTGATTTTGATGTGATTGTTTTGATAAAAAAAAGCGCGCAAAATTTCATCTCTACCGAGGGGGCAGCAAAACCACAAAATTACCTTGCATACTGGGGGTATTCATTGGATGAAAGCAGGCTGTCAAATACGAACAATCGTTGCCTACCTCGCATAACTGGTTCCAAACGTAAGCAAGCCATAAGAAACCTAAAGGGTTTGTTTACGTTTGGAACCAATTTCATACAAGAATGATCAGTAGGCTGATTTTACAGCATGTCCCCCCAGATATTGTACCATTTCTATTTGGTATAGGGGATACACCAAATTTTACTGGAATATTCGTATGAATTGTGACTGTATTATTTGTATAGGAATATGCGACTTCTCGCTTTATTCAATGACAGCCCATCTATTGTATCAGTGAAGAAAATTGAATCACAACTACAACTATTGTAAAATCCTCCATTATTCAGTGTGAATCATCACAATAAGACTTTCCTCTCGATTTATAGAATGTCGATCCAACTTGTTCCACTTTCCACTGCTAGTCAAAAATACATTTTTAATTGCAGGATTTTTCCAGCGATACCTATCGACACTTGCGACATGATCATCTTGATCGTGGCTTATGCGTGGAACGCTGTCGCAGGCTAGTATCCCAAATGGATAACGAAACCATTCAACAGTTGCATGTCGAAAAATTCGATATAAATTTCCCTGTAAGTCTTCTCAGTCACATCAATACCGAAAACCAGCGCAGTATCAATTAAAACCCCTTCTCAACAGTACATCATAGATTCCAAAACATTCGAAGCCGTCCATGTCCATCAGGATCGCGCCATCTACGGTCGGCTAATCAACATCTGCGAGAACTTCATACTCCGCAAAGTCTACAACCTGACGGCGTACACCGAGATCGAGTACTGCACCCGCCAAAGTCAGCAGATCGACGTCGATCTGCTGGATTTGACGTTCCTCGTCGTTTCGATGGTCCTCATCTGCGTGGTGATTTCATCCACCTGGTTCGACAGTCGAATGAACAAAAGCAAGAAGAACGATCACTACATCGTGGAAGTTCCGTGCAAAAGTTAGTGTCCGCGGTCATTAGCATCAATTTATAATCTTATTAATCAACCGTCGTCTACCCTCTCGCACTTCCCCTCTACAGGATCAATGCTGCTCACGTCGTTTTCGTTGAAACGAAACTGGTACCGTTTGATTAGCCGTTCCAAAGATCAGCTTAATGAAGATTTGCGCTTCTTCCAAACGTTCCGCTTCCTGACGTTTCTGCTGGTGATCATGGGCCATTGTTCCGATATGTTTGCAGTCACTCCCATCAGCAACACTTTCGATCGGGAACGGGAGTATTACAAACCGGAAGCGTTCACCCTAATCAACGGATCGCAGATCGTGCAAACGTTCTTCCAAATGAGTGGATTTCTGCTGAGCATACACTTCTTCACAACCCGAGCCCGCCTGAAGGAGATCCGTTGGTCCGTGGTTGTGGCTGTGGTTGTTTATCGATTTATTAGGTAGGTGTGACTTATTCATTGGTGACCTTTGCTGCTGTGAGATATTTACAATATCATTTAATCGTAGGTTGACCCCAGCGTATGCCTATGTGCTGCTACTGCATGCCACCTGGTTGCCGAAGCTGCAAGATGGGCCACTGTGGATGCGCGGAACGCAAACCGAGAAGTACTTCTGTCGGAAGAATTGGTGGACCAATTTGTTGTATGTGAATAACTACGTGAATGCCGATGAGCCGGTAAGGTGACTGACATTTATTACTGGAATTTTTTCAACTAATTATTTTTTTTATTGAATCTCAGTGCCTCCAACAAGCATGGTATCTTGCATGTGATTACCAGCTGTTTACACTGGGAATGATCCTGGTGGTTGCTGTGACAAAGTAAGTGTTTAATTTGAAATCCGTTTCCCAGAAACCAACTTTCATTCGTTCACCAATAAGAGACCACATTTGAATGGAATGATTAAAAAAAAAAAAAAAACTCCCGCCAAACATCTGCGCATCTTATTGATTAAATTAGTAAAGTTCGCCGACATTTAGAAGCCCTAATTTCAAAGCTAGTGTTGAACCGGTTTTACTTTTGGACACACTCCGCCGAATTAGGGAATGGAAAAACCCTTTATATTCACACACTCATATTGTCATAAAATAGGAACCGTTTGAATTTTGGCAGAATTCAGGTCAAGCAGGTTTAGCTTAACCTTCAAATGCTGGGATTCAAAACTAGTCGGCAGCGTGGACGATACGTGTCGCTCATAAGACGATCTTTGACGATTGCGAATGTTGACGACAATATTGTTTTCTAAAATTGTCTAAATTTTGATTCACGTGCGGCAAAACCGGTTTGATGAAGAAACTTACTGTTAATCTATCTATATCTATCTATATATATAAAAACGAATTTATGTCTGTCTGTCTGACCCTTATAGACTCGGAAAAAGTTCTTGTGATGGTTCAAGACCCCTCCCCCTTCTGTAAGGGCGGTTCCCATACAAATGAAATAGAAATTTCTGCATAACTCGAGAACTAATCATGCAAACGGAACCAAATTTGGCATGTGGAGGTATAAGGAGATGGTCATAGGATATAGCCCCTTAGATAAGAGCGGGGGGGGGGCTACGTCCAGTATACCATGATTTTTTTATCGGCGCATAAACTCAAGCTAATATTGAATCTCAAGCAAGGCCGGACACACTCAGCTAGAGGAAGATAAAATTAATAGTTTAGGGATTGCTCCCACTTAGTTGTAAACAAGTTGACAACAATTCATGAGTCATAGTTTTGAATATATTACTGAATTGAAGGACTGTGTTTTGTTCTTTCTGGAACACCCTATATTTTGAATTTACTAATCGCCTATTTCAGAAAGCAATAATAATTTTGGTTTAACTAGATCTATGTTGATTTAATAAATTCTAATTTCTGTTTCAGATACCCCAAGCTAAGGACCCACATCTTCTCGGTAGCCATGTTCCTTGCTTATTTGGTTCCGGGATTGATTGTATATTTCGCTGCATTTGATGGTGCCTTCATTAATAGGTTACAGTAAGTCGCTAATCTTAGCCAACCTAAAAAAAAAGAATGTCCACCTTCATCAACTTTTTTAACAGGGACGAACGATTCATCTTTTGGTTCGATCGAATGTACCAACTCACGTACGTACCATTCCACACCAACATGGGCTGCTACCTAGGCGGAGTCATCATGGGAATAATCTACTACAAACAGCGCAAGAACCACCACGAAGGCAATCGAGCTTGGGTAATTCGTACTTTCCTCTTTTCATAACCAAAATCATCTTCCTTGGCTAACACCGGTTCTCACTGTTGTTCCAGTATATGCAAGCACTGTGGTACCTGGTCGTCCCCGTTGGCATCCTGTGCCTGATGAGCAACTCGATTTTCTATCTGTACAAATTTGAGAAGCCGGCCATCTGGATGGCCGTGTTCTATCCGGTGATGAAGCACATGTGGATCGCCCTAGGGGCGATGATGATCTACGGCATCATCTACGAGTACAGCAAACCGATCAAGGGATTCCTAAACTTTTCTATCTTTGTCCCGCTTGGCCGACTGACGTACTGCGCCTACGTTTGCCACGTGTTTATGCTAAAGAATACCTTTTTCGGGACGCGGGAGATGGGCTACTTCAGCAAGATGTCACTGGTTGGTATCATTTTCCGATCCAAAAAATTTGTGATGATTAATTTGCGACTATTTTTTTTATTAAAACAGCTTTCCAAAGTACTAACGGTCCTGGTGTCATCCTACCTGATGGGACTGGTACTGGCTATGCTGTTGGAATTCCCAGCCACGGCCATCCAGAAGCATCTGTTTGCTAAGAAGCTAGGTAAGTAACGACTCTACACTGTCACTTGAAAGTACCCATTAATTAATACAATTTCACAGAATTTGGGGGAAAGGTGTTTATACCAACTAAACGGGATATGTTTTACCCATTAATGGGTAACTGTTACCCAGGAGTATCTTTGGATACCCATTTAATGAGTATAAACACTTTTCCCGACAATGGATGAAATTATACTCAATAATGGGTACTTTCAAGTAACAGTGTAGTTACAAGACAAAAAATAATCAAATTGTAATTATTTCAATCATGTTATTTGCAGAAGAAGCCACAATTGAACCAAAGTCATCGCAAGCTCGAAACAATAATGTGATTACAGTGAATGGAGCAGTGCCCGCATGAGATTTGCCATTCATCATTAATGAATTCGTATGGAAAACGACTCTATAGACTGTGTTTACACTAATTTTAAGCCTATGGTAATGTTATTACTAATAATATCAGCGTAATGTGGTAGAGCATATCTTTATTCGAAAGAAATCTATACCCAGCCGGGAAATGTAAGATTCTATAACAGATTTGCATGAAACATATGCAGAATTTGCAATGTTTCGTGACATGAACAATTTTCTTTAATGTGGTAAATTTACAATTTTTACATTAGCTTATTTATCGAACAAAGTTTGTTTCCCTAAGTGCATTGCGTCTAAAAAATCATCTCGGGAATGTTTTAGACAAAAATGTGCATTCTGGAAAAACTTGCTGGAACGCTGCAGTCCATTGCAAGAATTGCCATAACATTTGTTGTATGAAACATATGCAGAGGATGTAATAAATCCAACCTTACATTGGATGTAAGAGAAATTTATTTCGCGTGTTTCTGTTCAAGGAATTTGAAGAAAAAAAACTCCTCTGTCACACTTTCTTTGTCATAACAATTCGGAGAAGCACCAGCCACCAAAGGGATACAATTGGAAACCATCATGTACACCAACATAAGTTCCAGTTCATAAACTTATGCCATATTGGATCTTACCACCGTGATCGTCATATCTGCAGTATGGAACAGTACTACCACAAACGAAGTGGCAGACGACTAACTGGCGAAGAAATCCATTAAAATAATGTGGTTCACTGTAATAGAATTTTCTTGGAAGCTTGTGCCATCATCCACCAGATGGGTTAGTTTTTGGTTATGATTTGAACCAAGTTAATTTTGTGTACAATGATTCTTTGACAGTGTGCGAAGAGTGTATCATTTTGTCATTTTTTTTTATGCATTTCAGTTTTAAGTAGAGTGAAAGAGATAGAACCAAAACATTCTAATACATTTGGTGAAAATGCTAGTACAATCCAGTAGTAGTGTTGCCATGTGGTACAATCCAGTGCTAATGGTGTTGCCATGTGGTACACTGAAAAATTGAAATAGCAGGTTAGTCACCAAAGTTTTCGAGCCGCTCCGTCTGTTACTTCGATTGTGGTACTGCCATAGAGGTAACTGTAAGATTAGAAGGTCCCGAAGAAACGTGCTCAACTTTGTAGCTCAGCTCTGGTACTCTCTTCGGTCCCAAGCTAATCGATGCACCCCTCGAAACACAAGAAAATCCACGAATCCCTCATTTTATCTGTCAAACTTTCATAGCGAATCAAAACAAACATAGTGTAATACTAGAATTTCAACTATAATGGAGTACGTTAATCGATTTACTTGGGACCAATAGGCTAGTCAAGTAGTGAGCCAATTTAAATTCGTTAGTTTCCACCGGTTGCTGGTACTCTCTTCGGTTTCGACTAGAATGGGGTACGTTAATCGATTTGCTTGGGACCAATAGGCTAGTCAAGTAGCGAGCCAATTTAGAATCGTTAGTTTCCACCGGTTGGTACTACCAACCGGTGGAAACTAACGATTTTAAAGTGGCTCATACTGGACTAGCCTCTTGGTCCCAAGTAAATCGATGAACGTACACCATTCTAGTCGAAATTCTAGTACTACACTATGATTGTTTTGATTCGCTATGAAAGTTTGACACATAAAATGAGGGGTTCTTGGATTTTCCTATGTTTCGAGGAGTGCATCGATTAGCTTGGGACCGAAGAGATTATCAGAGCTGAGCCAACAAGTTGAGCACGTTTTTTCTGGACCTTCTGGTCTTAGAATTACCTCTATGGTACTACCATTGGCTGAATTTCTGCTCCAGCTGTTATGTTATAGCGCAATGTTGATGCTGGTTTCTGTGTTGCAATTATTTGACAACCGTTATAACATGTTATAATTGCTCCGTCTGGACAGCGCTTTAAGCAAATAAACAGTGAATTAAAGGGTGATACGGTCAAAATTTGGTCAAGGGAAAACGCGTGTAAATCGGTGAAATCGTTTATTTAAAAAAATCAAATTAAATTTCTTTTTCAAGTTCAATTAGTATAAAATTCAGGAAAAATATTCAGTTAGGCTTCCGCTTTTCCAAATCCGAATTGCCGGGCCTTACGCTTGACCCCTGCCATCAGATTTTGTACAGCCACCTTGTCCACCTTCTTCGCCGCTGAAAGCCAGTTTGCCTCCTTGAACTGCTGCTCGCCCTTAGCAGTTTTTTTGGTCTTCTTTAGGTTCCGCTTGACAATAGCCCAGTATTTCTCAATTGGGCGGAGCTCTGGCGTGTTGGGAGGGTTCTTGTCCTTGGGAACCACCTGCACGTTGTTGGTGGCGTACCACTCCATGGCCTTTTTACCGTAATGGCAAGATGCCAAATCCGGCCAATACAGTACGGAACAACCGTGTTTCTTCAGGAAAGGCAGCAGACGTTTATTCAAACACTCTTTCACGTAAATTTCTTGGTTGACAGTCCCGGAAGCTATGAAAATGCTGCTTTTCAAGCCACAGGTACAGATGGCTTGCCAAACCAGATATTTCTTTGCGAACTTTGACAGTTTCATGTGCTTGAAAACATCTGCTACCTTTCCCCTTCCTTTTGCCGTATAAAACTCCTGTCCCGGAAGCTGCTTGTAGTCGGCTTTGACGTAGGTTTCGTCGTCCATTACCACGCAGTCAAACTTCGTCAGCATCGTCGTGTACAGCCTCCGGGATCGCGCTTTGGCCGTCGTATTTTGTTTATCATCGCGATTTGGAGTCACTACCTTCTTGTAAGTCGATAGTCCGGCTCGTTTTTTGGCTCGATGCACGGTTGTAGACGATACACCCAGCTTATTTGCGGCATCTCGGAGAGAGAGGTTAGGGTTTCGCTTGAAACTACCGGCAACTCTCTTTGTCGTCTCAGCGGCTTCCGGTTTTCGATTTCCCCCCGATCCAGACTTCCTGGCTGTCCACAAACGTTCCCCAAACACTTTAATTACAGTTGTAACGGTTGATTTGGCAACTTTTAGCGATTTTGCCAACTTTGCGTGCGAGTAGCTCGCATTTTCGCGATGCGTGAGCAAAATTTTGATACGCTGCTCTTCTTGCTTGGACGGCATTTTGACAACTGAAGAGTGAATTCCAAAATCAAAATAGGAGCAACATTCTACACACACACACCTTCAAAATGAGGGGTGTTCAGGTTTTTTAAATGCAAAATTGAAAGAAATACGTCAAGTTGATATTGACCAAATTTTGACCGTATCACCCTTTAGTGACCAACATCACTTAAAAAAGTTTCTAAAAATTGAACAAAATGTGATTTAAAAATTATTATAAAATCGGAAATAGATTTCTGAAAACTTTGTCATGGATAACAAGGAAGGCAATTTGAATCTGCCAGGGACACCTCCTCGAGCCTTGTAAAATGTTGGTCCTTGAAGCTGTTCAAATTCAGCCTTTACATTGGTTTCATCATCCATAAGTATACACTCACCGGACTTGGTCAGTAGGTTGTCGTACAGCTTTCGAGTACGGGTTCTAGCTACGGTATTCTGCTTGAGGATCGATTTGGTTGCCTACTGGCGTGGTATGCCGGGTGGCATCATACTTTTTACTCAAATATCGATCGAACATACCTGGGTTGCTTCTGATGGACCTCACGAGCTTTCCGTGGAGCTGACGGTTGGCAGTTCCACTCCGGCGTTTACTTTGAGGCTTCCGATTCGTCGTCATGGTTTCCCTGTACGTTATGAGCACGCGCCATACGGTGTTTCTAGGAAAATTCAACACCTTAGCCAACTTACACGTGGACCACGATGGATTTTCCACGATGCACGATTTTTCTTCCCACACTGCTCTTGCAAGGTGAGCGTTTTATGAACTGAAAAATACACTGTTATTGTTATTGTTGATGTCAACAAATAGACGTCAAAAGCTTCCGAAATCGTCCACTAAGAGCGCTGTAATAAGCAAGCAATGCCTAGGGACTTAGATACTTTTTGAGGCTATCAAGCTCAATTTAGAAGCTCCAGTGTGAATTTTTTGTTACATTATAAGCCTTCTAAAAAATTGCATTTTCTTTTGCCATCTTCTTCGTCAGTATCCATTTCGTTATTCTCTTCTTATTCATCCGTCTTCTTCACCACGTTTCATCCGTTCCGTCGTATTCTGTTTCCTCTTAATCATCTTCTCGCTTCCTGTGTTTCCTTTAGAATCTTCTCGCTCTTTTCTCTTTTCACAATTTTCTACATACATATGGGTTATTCCGCGCCAAGTGTACACAACACATGAAATTGACCTCTTCCGATTTGGACCAAATTTGTAGGGAAGGTTCATTTAAGTTCAAATTTTAAAAATCCAAAGTTTTATGCTTATCGGAGCACCCCTCGGTCAAGGGGCGCATTTTCCATTTTTCGTGATTCTTTGGCAAGCATTACTTTCTTTTGTTCATATCTCCGGAACAAATGGAGCTACAAATTGCATTAGGTATTGTTCTAATAAGGAAATTAGACAAGAAATCTAAATCTGAAACTTTTGTTTCTGTACAGTGTTGCCAAATATTTTTTATTTTTGTTTGAAAACTTTAAATGCAGTTTTCTCATAATACGTGTCGTTCAATTTTCATTTTAAGGACATCATCGTGTTCTTCATCCTTTTTTACATAAGAAACACTTAACGACAAAAAGTAATTTGCGTAGTTCCTGAGATATTGCATTTTGAATGAATGAAAGTCATAAATTATGAGGGTAAAACTTTTTTTTTATTTTTTTTCCATTTCCTCTTCGTAAGTGGATTCATTCTCATGACTTATTGTGTGAAATAATATTTAAAGAAAAAAAAAATCGATTACATTACCAAGAACAGTGTTGCCAAATTTGCGACTAAAAGTTTGAGTGTGTCGAAGAGTGTTTTTCCGATGTTTTTAACACAAGGTTACCTCCTGAATAGAATACACCATTTTCAACTCGGTATCTGCAAACTTCTAATGAACTAGAAATATGCGCCAGAGATGCTTAAAACATAGACGCCTAATATATAAATAAAAATAAAAAATGTCATATTTTAATAAATAGTTATTTTGGCGTTCTTGTACCAAAAAATATAGATTAAGGTCCGTTGTGCACTTACTTTCTGAAAACTTTTAAAATAATA